TCTTTCTTTCTTTCTTTCTTTCTTTCTTTCTTTCTTTCTTTCTTTCTTTCTTTATTTATTTATTGTGGGGCAGTTGGGGTTTAATGATCTCTTAATTGTCGATTCTGATGGCCTTTCTCAGGCCTCATTCTCCTTGACCTATTTGCTGCATTTGACAGTGACCATACTCTCCTCCAGATTATTCTCTTTCCAGGTTTTTGTGATCTTGCTCTCCTGGTTTTACTCCTACCTGACTGGCCACAAATTGTGGATAGATTCCAGGGTTCTTTCTTGGGCCCTTTTCTTTCTTTACTTCTGCTCTTGGTGACCATTTCCATGGATTTAATTATCATCTCCATCTAAGTCACTTCCAGATCTATCAGCCCTAATCTCTCCTGAGTTCTAGTCCACTATCACCAGTTTCCTATTAGATGTTTCAAACTAGATATTTCATAAGCATTTCAATCTCATTATTACAAAACTGAACCCATTATCTTTCCCCAAAAACTGAACCCATTTCTGTTCAGGGTACCTCCTATTCTTCTAGTCTCTCTGGTTTGTAATGTTATCTTTACTTTGTTGTTCTCTTTCACCTTGTATATTTGATTAGTTGCCAGATCTTGGCCCTAGGCTGTCCCTACTCCAATCCTTTCTCCACATAGCCACAAAATGATTTTCTTTAAGTACAGCTCACTCCTCAGTGTAATAAACTCTAGTGATGACTTCCTGTTGGCCCTAAAAAGGTTTGTAAACTCTTCTGTTTGGCTTCGCAAGCCTTTCACATCTTGTCCCCAGCCTGCCCTTTCACATTCATTTTACATTGCTCTCTTTCCTGTACTCTGTGGTCCAGACAAATCAGCTTACTCTCTGTTCCTCACACATACTCCCACTCCTGTTTTTTGTGGCGTTTGTACATCTCCCGTGCTCTGAATATATTTCCTTTTTCACCTGCCTACTAGAACCCTCATTTATTTCAAGGCAGCTCAGATACCACCTGATTCTCCTCATTCAGCCCCTTTCCATTTTCTAGTGCCCTCCTTCCCTAACTGCCTTGATGTCTTCCAAAAAGTACTGCCATCACCTTTAAGAGGCCTCTTCTCTAATCCTGCCCCTTGTCCCTTACATCCTTCTGGGGAGGAAGGAGTGGCCAGATGTACTAGTAAGAGCCATTATTTAGTATTTTTCCCATATGCACATGAGCCACCTGATGATAGCATTTCACCAATTTTCTTCATCTTTACAATGAGGAAGTTAGACTAAAGTGATTCCTGTGTGATCTGTACTCTTTGGCATTGAGTTAAAATTGCTTAAGGAATATTACAATTATGGACTTTAGAATTTGGACCTATAAGTTGGAAACTTAAGTAGAAAAGTTTTGTGGTTTTGTTTTGTTTTTACTGCAATTCTTAAGGTTTCATAATAAAATATTTAAAGGAACATACAAATCATCTGGAAAAGTTTCTGATACAAATTTTGGTTAACAGAGTGATGGCACCATATACTCCTTTTATAAATATTACATATCTGAGGGGCAGCTAGATGGCACAGTGGATAGAGCACCAGCCCTGGAGTCAGGAGGACCTGAGTTCAAATCTGGCCTCAGACGCTTACTAGCTTTGTGACCCTGGGCAAGTCACTTAACCCCAATTACCTAAAAAAAATAACAATAATGACATAAACATTGTATATCTGGTTTCCTATAACATACTTTGTTTGCTTTTCCTAGTCTTGTATTTTAGTCTGATTTTAGTCTTTACAGTTGAAAAACGTAGGGGAGTCATTTATGATTTCTTTTCACTGTTGTAAAATACACTTTTTTTTTTTTTAATTAGAGTCGTGCTCCAATTTCTGCAAAACTTGTGGCCAATATGCTTTCAGTGGCCGGGGCTGATCATATCATTACAATGGATCTCCATGCTTCTCAGATACAGGTACAGTCTATGCATTGACATGTCACTAACTGCAAATTACAGGCAGCAACATGAGTAACTCCCTCGGTGGCTCTTGTAACTTCAGATAATTTTTTTTTTAAAACAATTGCTGCTATGCAAGGAAAATGAATGGATGGGACCCTAATTCGATATTTTTATCTAAGTTCCTTTTTATCTCAAACATTTTATGAATCTTTTCTCCTTTAGAGAATGGGATTTTAATTTTAAAAGTTAAATTCTTTAGTCTCCATCAATTTAGGATGGATATGAATAGCTTGTTAATTACAAACTTAGAACCACTGTTCATCCATATACAATACCTCAATACCTGATTCCAGAAGACTTATGATTTTTATTAGTAGTAGTATTTCCTCTGCCAGTGGAAGCTACAAGCCTCTGTAATATTAATCACCAACATTTTGATAATGGGACTTTTTGAACTTCTAGGTTAGTCTGCGTTCTAAGGGCATGTTATTTATCACGAGACTGACTACTTAGTCTTTATCACTTTGTTTGGAACCTTCCAGAGGCATCAATAAATGATGTTTTATTTAAATAAAATAATTTTCATGAAGCTTGGGGCCACCTGTAAGAGAAGATGAAGCATCAGAATAATATTTGAGTGGAAGATGCATTCTTGATGTCTTTTTATCTGAAAATGTGATTTCACCAGTGTAAGGAGCTCCTTGCACAAATATAGATCACTCCACTCAGAGAGTTGCCTGGGTATTAAGAGTGTAAGGGATTTGCCTTGGGTCACACAGCCAGTCCACTATTTTGAACTCCGGATCTTGGGCCCTATTAATTGATTTAATCTTTTTTACTATCATCACAGGGGTTTTTTGATATTCCAGTGGATAACTTGTATGCAGAACCTGCAGTCTTGCAATGGATTCGAGAAAATATTGCAGAATGGAGGAATTGTATTATTGTGTCCCCAGATGCTGGTGGAGCCAAAAGGTACAGTGGAACGGGTAGACACAACTTTCTGGAGTTTGATAATCTTAAGTGGACTTTTAAAAGTTGTTTTTCAACTGTATAAAAACTTTATAAAAAGTTTTTATTGATGTCTTTTAATTGTTACATCATCATAGTTTTCTCTGGTATGACTTCCCCTGCTTCTTCCAAAGAGCCATCCCATATAACACGTATTTTTTTAAAAGATAAAAAAAAACAAACAAACAAGAAGATAACAAGACTGCAAGATCAATACATTGGAAAATTCTGAAAACATGTATAGTGCCTGTGGACTTCAGCTTCCATGAAGGGGTGGGTTGGGGGTATCCTCTTACATTTCTCTTCTTTTGAGTCATGCCTGATATTTGAGTTGCAATTCTTTATTAAAAAGCTATAATGCTTGTTATGTAATTGCTCGTTTTACAAATCCTTCTTAGCTGATGCTTTGTCTTATTAGTTTTTAAACTTCTTCCCAGTTTCTCTTTGGATTTGCCCATTTTTTCCCCCATTTACACCCATCCTATATAAAAGTTTCCTGTTATCAAGCTTACGCTACACATTTGAGTGTTGCAATTTTATAAGCACTCTGTAATGTAAGCTGGATTAGGGAAAGAGCTGATTTGGAGTCAAGGTCTTGGAAAAGTCTTTAAAACTCTCAGGACTCAGTTCCTCAACTATAAAATGAGGGAATTGGATTAAATGATCCCTGAAGATCCTTTCAGTTCTAAATTTATGAATTACTTTTAACCTATAAATTATTTTCCTTTAGTAGACAGGTTTCTTAATATTCAGCAATTGTGTTGAGGTAGGGAGTGCATTGTTTGTGTTTTGTGGGGTTTTTTTGTTTGTTTGGTTTTTTTGCTCCTTTCTGTGCCACATTTTAAAATGTTTACAGTGGAAATTTTAAAAAATTCCATGTAGACTTTTAAAGATAATCTGTTCGGTAAAAATTTTTGCGTGTTTTTCTTGTTTTGTTTTGGTGGGTTTTTTGTTTTCGTTTTGTTTTGTTTTGTTTTTTGGTTCCTGGTAAGGAAATAAAGCATATTACAACAGTAGCTGCAATCTCAGTAGTTTCTGCCATGCAGCTAATAGACCTTATGTTCTTTCTGGCTAGATAAAGACTAATAAGATGAAGGAAGTTGGAGATCATGGCACAACCAACTCTTTTTGTTTTAAAGTAGAGGTGAAGGAGGTATTAAAATATCTTATTAAGTCTTACATCTATTTTTGGTGAAGAGTAGCAGTGTATGGCTGTGAGAGTTGAACTGTACGGAAAACTGAACACCACAGAAATCAGTGCTTTCCAACTGTGGTGCTGGAGAAGACTTTTGAGAGTCTTGGACTCAAGGAGATCAAATCACCAACACTTAAAGAAACTAATTCAGGCTATTTACTGGAAGTTCAAATATTGAACCTGAAACTTAAATACTTTGGCCCACATAATGAGGAAATGGGTCTCATTGGAAAAAGCCTTTATGTTGGGAAAGATTGAAGGCAAAAGGAAAAAGGGACGGCAGAATATGAGATAGAGAGGTAGTGTCATGGAAGCAGTGGACTTGAACTTGAATAGACTTTGAGAGATAGTGACCTGGCATGCTGTGGTCCATAGAACAGGAAAAGTCGAACACTGAATAACTGAAAAACAATAAAATCAGTAAGGGCTTATAATGTGATTTTTTAGTTGAGTTGATCCATAACGATACTCTTCTTTAGAAAACTGCCCAAATCAAATGATACTCTGAAATTTATTGTTTTGGAAAGGGTAACTCAAAAATTAGTTTTTAGTATGTGGAATCAGCAGAAACCTAGAATAGAAAAATAGAATTTTAACAAATTACTTGGCAAAAATGTTGCAGCCTTATTTCAGTTAATATACTAAATGTGGGAGATGAGGATAGGGAGTTAGAGTTCCCCCAGGAAAAGATACTTTTTATTTTTGCTGTCTGGTTCTTTTAATTATTTGCTTTTATGGAAGTACTCTTATAAACCATTTTATATCCACGTCTCTAATAAACTTGCTTACTAATCACAGTGTCACATTTAAATCAGTTAGGAAGATTAGCAGATGACTGCATGTCCAGGATGAGTGCTGCTAGGCATTGTCCTCCACATAACTACTATATTGACAGCCTTGTTCCTTTGTAGGACCAAGTTCCCTCAACCACATAATGAAGGAATTTGGAGACAGTTTCTAAGGTTCCTTCTAGTTCTTAAATCTATGTTCCTGAGGCATAGGTCTGATCATTCAGTTTCCCTGCTATAGAAGCTTCAGTGGCTCCCAATTGCCAGTGAGATAAAATGAAAACTAATGTTTGTCATTTAAAGCTCTTTACCATCTGTCTTTCCAGGCTGATTATTTATTCTCCCTGGGACCCCCACACACTCTACACTCCGCACTTAACTACACTAACTAGTACATATACTATCCCCTCTATATGACATTTCATGTTACCATGTTACCATGCCTTTGTACAGGCTATAACCCTTCCTTGGAATGTCCTCTGTCCTCACCTCCCAGTCTTGAAACCTCTAGTTCCTTTTATGGCTCAGCCCGATTTCCTTCAGTTGTTGGTGCAGTTTTCCCTCAGAACCTTAGAATTAGTTTGTATTTATTTAGGTAGAGCCTGCATTTACCCATTTGTGAACATGTCCTATCCATCGAGGAGAATATAAACTCCCTTAGGGTAGAGAATATCTTGATTTTTGACTTTATATCCTTAGAACCTAGCACAGTGGTCTATATACAGTAGGTGTTTAATAAATGTTGATTGATTCCTGTTGCTATTGCTCTCAGTCCTCTTATAACCCTAACAGGGAAAGGAGTGGAAGCAGGGTTAGCTTGGCTGTTGGAGCAGATTGTATCTCCATGGCGGCAATGCTTCTTTTGTTTTTTTTTAGCCACTTCCTCCCTTCCTGTATTCTTGCCAGACAAAAGCCATTTAACCACTAAATGAGGCAGACAAGGGTAATTAATTCTAGACAATTCATGCTTGTTAGGGATAAGCAAGGTGCTAGCCTGCTTTTATCTGGGAACCTCAACTCTTTGAAACACTGCTCAGATCACAGAGATAAGTTTTTTTAAGGCCTCTGAGTAGCTAAAATAGTTGTCACAAAGGGTGTGTGCTAAAAGCTCATGTACTTTGCTCAAAATAGAAACTTTACTAAAATGATTTATCTTTAAATTTAGACATCTTTCTAACAAGTCTGATTATGTAGTTTTCCAGGCATTGGCAGTTTAGAAACATCAAGAGTGTGTTGGGAATGGGAGTGGTGGGGGACGTGGAGAGAGTGAAAATGCTACTGGAGAGAGGCAAGCACACCGTCAACAGCAAAAAATATCAGCTGAGAAAAGCAGGAGAGGAGACATAATATAGAAAATAGCAGAGGTGAGGGACTATGAATATAGAATGATGCATATGCTATCAGACATGATCAGTATGTCAGTGGTTTTACTGAACTATTTTGTTTGGGAGCTGGGAGAAGGGAATGTATTCAGAAATTAATATGATGTAAAATAAAAGGGCATCAATAATTTTTTTAAAAAATGGCCATCTAGGGCCATTTGGTATAAGGGCCTTCTCTGAGCAGAGTGTGGCAAAAAACCTACCTGTGATATTTGGTACTGATTTCTGAATAAATAGATAGATAATGAGTTGCTACAAGTGTTCTGATAGCATAAGAGTATCATCACTACCATTCACGTTTTACCATATTTGTACAACCCACATTTTTTCCATTCTCTTTGATTTATGAGTAGAATTATGAACTGAATTTTTACAGAGCCTTTATTTGGATGTCTTTAACTCATTATCTGTTTATTCCTTTCCATAGAGTGACATCAATTGCTGACAGACTGAATGTGGAGTTTGCTTTGATTCACAAAGAAAGAAAGAAAGCAAACGAGGTAGACAGGATGGTTTTGGTTGGCGATGTGAAGGATCGTGTAGCCATCCTCGTGGATGACATGGCTGATACATGTGGTACAATATGCCATGCTGCAGATAAGTGAGTGGAAATTTTAGAAATGGAAAAAGAAAATAGAGAAAAAGGAAACTTTAAATGTGAACATTTTAAAAAGCTCCGTTGCTTGTGCTATTCATTTGCTGATAGGTTAACAGTGTTGGACAAACAGGAAATATTAGGCTGTTTCATTTTTGTTACAATGTGTTTTGTCTTTTTTTTTTTAAGACATACCTACACGCAAGTTTTCAGTAGTTCTTAATCACAGGTATACTCATCTCGAACATGGGAACAAATGAGACTGAGTCTCTCCAGTTTCTTCCCCCTCCCCCAAATTTATCATGTAGAAGTAAAATTGGAAAATATTACCTACTTCAACACCTCAATGGGAACCTTCTGTATCATCCTTAACTAGTGTTTATTCAGTTTCTACTTGAAAATCATTGCCTCCCAAGTCATTCCAGTTCATTTTCAGACACTTTTACTGAAAAACGTTTTCTTTATATTAAATTGAAATCTGCTTCCCTATGACATTGTGAACTCTGATATGATGTCATTACTACCAGGTGTTCCAGAATTTTCTGTTTTTCCATATTGGTCAAAAATCACATCTAGAATAGCAAGCCTCCCCAATACCTCAGCAAAGCAAGTAGCGTAATGTCCAAAGAATTTTTTAAAAGAAAAGAGGAATTTTTGTTTTTATCTGCAGAATCAATCAGTATGTCAAAAAAATCTGATATATGCAATGTTCCACACCTCAAGGATCCTCCTTTCATCTCTTCTGTGGGACTGAGCTTGTGAATTATAATTTTGCCACATTCATCTTGAATTGAATCTTTTATAGTCACCTTATTTTTAAACGTATGATAAATGACTTTCTCAGTGTCTTTGTGATCTTGTCAGTTTCCATGGGTCCAATTATCTCTATGTAGATGATTCCCAGAACTATATATTTAGCCCTCCCGAGCCATAGTCCCAAATCACATGGCCTATTAGAAATTTATAAATGGATGTCTATAAGGCATCTCACACTCTGTGTGTTCAAAACACAATTCATTATCTTTTGCCCAAAACCCAGTCCTCTCCCTTACTACCTTTTTCTGTTGAGGACACCATCATCATCTCAGTAACTCCGGTTATGACAACCTTATTATCAGTTCTACTCTCATTCATCTCACCTGTCCAATCAGGTGCCAAATCTTGTTATATCTACCATTTTTTCAGTTCTACTGCCACAACATATCTCCTATCCATTACCTTGTCTCCATTCACACCATCTAGTTCAGGCCCTCATCACCTCTCATCTGGACCACTGCAGGAGATTCCTAGTTGTCATTTCTGTCTCAAGTTTCTTCCCTCTATAATTCATCCTCCACAAAGCTGCCAAAACAGCAGTCCAACCATGTCACAACCTTGTGCCAGTGGCTTCCAATTGCCTCTAGGTTAAAATATCGACCTTATCATTTGAAATTTAAAGCCCTCAACAGTCTTGACTCCTGTCTGCTTTTCTAGATTTATTCAGTACATCACTCCTTCTTGTATTCAGTGTTCCAACCAAATTTGACTATTTCTTAACTCTAATATTCCATCTCTGTCTCTGTCCTTGTCCTGGTTCCTCATTCCTGGAATACATTCCTTCCTCACCTCCTCTGCCATCCCCTATCCCCCCCAAAAATTAATTAACCTCATATTTACTTTATATACTGTTGCAATACTTATATGCATACAGGTTGTTTACTCAGGAATGTAAACTCAGAAACTGTTTCATTTGTCTTTGCATCCATCCCCAGTGCCTGGCACACAGACTTAATAAATCCTTATTGATTGATTGGTTTGATTCCTGACTCTGCCCCATAGGTTAATGTCATTAGGAACTTGTCATCCATTTCCTCTCTGTGCCCTTGTTTGTTTGCCTTTTTTTTTTCCGTTAGGCAGTCGGGGTTAAGTAACTTGCCCAGGGTCACACAGCTTGTGAGTATCATGTGTTTGAGGCGGGATTTGAACTAAGATCCTCCTGATTCCAGGGCTGGTGCTCTATCCACTGCCCCGCCTAGCTGCCCCACCCTTGTTATTAATAGTAGATTTCACTGTCATTCTTTTTACCCTCACCCAAATGATCACCCCATGCTTTCCTTCCTTAGGCTTTTGGATTTCCACATCAGATCTTAACACGCAGTGTTATGGCACCATCCCTTCTATCCAGTCAGTTACTTTTGAATTAGGTGGGCCCCTTCTTTGTTATGTTCCAGTCATGATTATATCTCTCCAAGTCACTTGGATGATTCAAGGGCTTCACTGTTGCAGCATGTCCATGCCCTGGCTTTCAGAGGGAAGAGAAGCTCAAGGATGAAAGCAGGGTGGTTCCATCTCTCTGCCCATAATAGTGATGACTGAATTTCCTAGGAGAAGCAGCCTAATTGAGTTAATCAGCTAATCAACAAATGTTTGTTAAGTACTTGCTCTGCTTAGCACTGAACTTGTGAGAGTATTCAAAAGAAGTATAATAAATGGTTCCTCTTCTCAGGGAATTTACATTGTTATTAAAAAGACATGACCCATAAGATGCTTGAAAAAGGACTATAAAATGAAGTACAAAATGAAGTGATAGTAATGACTAATTAAACTAAATCCCACTTTCCCTTTGACTTATTAAGGATTCATTCCCATGGAGAAAACACTTAAGTTCAAAACACAACGAAAATCAAACTTGAATGTAAATTCAGTAAATCTTGACATATTTCAAGGATCTCTGATTTTATTTCTTCCACTAGTGCAGACCACATAGCTCCTTTGTGCCTTTGTCTATAATTTTTGTGAGTTTGCATGACATCCTTCTCCCCCCAACAATACATCACCCAATAACCAACCTGGTAGTGCAGGCTTATTAGCCAACAGCATTCCCCAGAGAGGGATTTAAACTAATTTCTAAGTATGTAATTAATATTCATCAGCTCTTTTTCCAAATACTTTTTCCTTATAAAATCTTAGGCTATTATCTCTTAAGAAGGTTCAACTTGCATTTTATGTCTAATTCTTGAGAAATTTAATTGCCTTAGTTAAGGCCATCTAGTAAGCTAAAGAGCTGCCCTTAAGAATTAGGAGGATCTCTGGGTTCAGGTTCTTCTCCTGACATGCTCTTCTGGCCCTGGGCACATCACTTAGGCTCTCAGTATTCTTGGTAAATTTCTAAGACTACAAGTTACAGAATTAGGTATCAACCTACATGGACAAGGAACCTTCTTACTAAAACTTCCCCATATTGATAATATAGGTCTGGGTTTTGTTGGTTGGTTGGTTGGGTTTTTTTTTTTTTTTAATGTGCTCCTTAAGATTTCTTTTTAAAAATTTTCTTGGAGGCCTGTCATCTTCCAAATAGCAATTCAGTTTATCTCATTAAGAAGGGGGAAAAAATCCCAACATTTTTCCCTTAGGACAAACCCTTTATTATATTTTTTTGCAAGGTAAACACTACTTAGAAGAGTCATTTATGGTGATGTATGTGTTTTGTTTTTTATCCTGACATTCTATAGGTTACTTTCTGCTGGAGCCACCAAAGTTTATGCTATTCTGACTCATGGAATCTTCTCTGGACCAGCTATTTCCAGGATTAATAATGCTGCATTTGAGGCCGTGGTAGTCACAAATACAATTCCACAAGAGGACAAAATGAAGCATTGCTCTAAAATCCAGGTATAGTAGAAAGAGTGTTGGTTTTGGGATCAGAAGGCCCTTAGTTCATATCCTCTTATTATACTTACCTGTTTGACCAAACCAAATCCTTTACTCTCTTAGGGTCTTAATCTGGGGAAGGGGAAAGAGATAATTGGTCCCTTTTATCTCTAGTTCTTTAGTCCCTTTTTATAAAATTACATGATTTCTGATCATTTGGTGGAAGAACAGATATTTGCTGAGTCATTTAACATTTTGCACGACTATTTAAAACCTAATATAACAAAATATTACTATTCCTATAGCAATATATTGTTAACCATACTCTGTGTTCTGTGAGGAAGAACACTTTTTACCTTTAGATTTATGATAGAATTGAGTTGGCCTAAGAGGGTAGAATGGTCTATCTTTTAGTAAATAGAAGTAAAATCTTACTACTGGGGTCCATGCAAATTTAGTTTTAGTGTTGACTAAGATTCTGATTTGCCCATGTTTCCACCCTGCCCCCTCCCAAAAAAAAAACCTAAAGTGTATGCAATTTAAATCTTAGCAACCAGCATCATTCAGGTATTTAATTAAATTACATTGACCTTTTAGAAAGTTTCTGTACAGTGGAAACCATTTTAAGAAAGAGTTTCCTTAAGCCTTCATATTACCTACATTAGTAGGCTTTCTGGTTTTAAAGTAAACCTGATTCTGTGATTCTTGATTGCCCTCACCCTTTTTATTCTGTTTCTTTTTGCTATTTAGGTTATTGACATTTCAATGATATTGGCTGAAGCAATACGGAGAACACACAATGGTGAATCTGTGTCTTACCTGTTCAGTCATGTTCCACTATAACTCCAGATCATGGCTTTCCTATAGGCTGTGTACACTCAGTCTGTTTTTGTTTTTGTTTTTTTTTTGTTGGGACTCCACAGTAAGATAATTAATGTTTATTAAAACTTCAGTTGTTTATACTTTAAGATTCCTTTTTTCCTCTCTAACCTTTCCAACCTTCTTAACCCCTCCCTCCTTCCCCTACCCCATTTTTTCCCTTTTTGAATGAATTGGCTTGTATGGGAAATGTCTGCATTTTGTTTTGGTTTGGCAGATAACTTTTTCCTTTACTCTTATATTACCTTGGAGCTGCAATTGTAAGAGTGTAATTACATTCAGAAGTTTTTTAATTTTATGTATCTGGGTTTGTCAAAGGTAACCCTGTATTAAAGCATTTCGTGTATTTTATTTAATAAAAATGCCTGTGGGCATTTTGGTAAAATCCCTGGTATATAGAATTAGACCTTTTATTCAGAATAAACATTATTTTAGAGAATTGTAGGATACCTTGAATGTTGACCTTTTTGTTAGTTGGAGTTCAAATTAATTTCTTGGACTTTACCTAGTTTAAATAAAGTTTTGGTCAGCTTAATGATGGTCATTGACCAATTTGCTGATGGAAATTTGTAGACAAATCAGTTAAGGACAATGTAGTATAAATGAATGTAGTTTTATATTACATTTAAGTCGGCCGTCATATTGCTGTAAATTTCTGCTAGTTTCTGAAAAATATTTCCATGTCGGAAAATTCCACAATTATTTCTGGCATTAGAATTATTTAGAAATTTCTATATATAATCTGTGTCAGATTCTGATCTCTAAATTAAATGGTCTGACGAATTCCAACTGTTGTAGTGCATTACAAATTGTAAAGGGAAATTGCACAGAAAATCCCAACTCTTTAAAAATGCACACTCCATTCTGTCTTATAGTATTCTTTTATATAACAGTTTAGCTGCAACTTTTGCTTTTTTTTTTTTTCCAGCTAAGAAAAAATGACATTTCAATGATTGGACTCCAAATCATTGAACTTTCAAATCATTAAATATAGAGTAATGTATGCTCACACAGTTGACTAAGGCAGTATTTAGGGCTTAAATCCACTAAACCTATTCAGTCTTTTAATTTTTCTCTTTGACATGAGTAAAGTTTGGAATCATCAGGACTATTAAATGTATGTTTATATAATGCCGCTTTCCCTTTTTTGTGGTTAGTGTACTTGTGTTATTTGTCGTCTAAAATAGTTAGAAGTCTTTAGCAGTTGATTCATTAAATCATCCCTAAGTGAAAATATTTATCTGGAAGGCAGTAATAAAGGAAATCTGGAAAAAATTATTTGCAAGAATATTAACTTTTTGATTAGAATACCAGATTTTTCCCAACCCTGTCAGTGAAGAGCTCACTAAACTAATGTTTTGTTACATGAAAAATGACTGTTTATACTTTTTTTTCCTAATTCAGAAGTCAAAGGAAACTTGGATGTTAATACAGTGCCACTCTCCTTCCCCCCCAGAAAACATCCTGAACATTATCTGGTCTTGTTTCTTAATGCACTTTGGCTAGATAATAAGTCTGTATAATTCAGACCAAAAAAAAAGTTATGTGCGGTTATGTAGACCAACCTTAATGGTAGGTAATGCCATTCTCCGATCTTTTAGTTGAAAATAACTAATTTTGTTATTTTCTTTTTTTTATGACAGCATTATTTAGGATTTTCTATTCCAGCATTGAAAGAATCTTACTTCAGGTTAACAGACTTAAAAAGGATAATTTATATGACATTTCAGTTGTTGACATCAGTCTTACTGCATCTTTCTGTGTAGTAAAATGGTTTCCAAGAGATAATTCTAAAGTAATCTGGCAAGAAAACTATGCACTTACAGTTTAAATGTTCAGATTTGTGAATAATAGCTTGATAACATTGACTCTGACTTTTGAGTTCATCTAATATGTTAAAAGAAGGGACCAAATACACTGCTTTGGCTACTTATACAAGATATCCCAAAAGACTTAGTGCAGTTATTTATGTTCTGTATTGTTGGAGTGGAGTGAGAGTAGTATAACTACCATTCAGAATACTTGAAACCCATTGAAATGAAAATGTCCAGAACTGATTTTGTCCTCTAGCACAAAACAGGATGAAATCTAAATAGGCAGCCTGCTCTGATGAGAAGTCCTTGTTTTATCGTTTATTTAACATTATTTTTGTTTTGCCTATTTTTAAAATAAATTTATGATGTTAAATATGGCTGTGTTTACATATATACAGGTAGGACCAGGTACATGTGAAAGATCAAATAGTCTGTAAAGGTTGCTTCAAGAGATTCTGATATTTTTAGATTTTCTGTTTCCTGTGGGTCTATCTAGATTGGCCCATAGTAAATGAAACTAGCCAAGTCTTTCATTTAAATCCAGTTCATCTACATGCATGTAGAACCAGCTTATGCCACTTTCCAAATAATAGGACTAGGGAACCATGATCATACCAAAGTTGCTCACCCCAAAACTTTGTCATATCAATCAGTAAGTATTTATACCATATCTTTCCTTTATTAGCTATTGTTAATGTCCAAGAATTGTATTGTTTGTGGTGCTTGTGTTGATCAGGTCACTGTTACAAAATGAATTTCCTGTTATTTCCTCTAATATTGTACTCAAGTATTTTCAATAAAATTGTGTTGCAAATTGCTCCTTTTATAAGACATTATTATGGTTCTGGAGTCTTACTAAAGCTTTGGTAATGCACTGTCTTTCCCTCCCCTCACCAGAACTGTCCTTCCTTAAAATGAGAGTTACGAAGATGGTTATTTAAAATGACCATTGGAGATTGTCCTTGCCCCCTCACCTGTGGAAAACCATATCATTGGAAAGGATGGAACATCCATGCAATTCAGTTAACCTGGTGGTGTGCTGCAAGAATTTAGCCATTGTTTGATTTGATTTCCTGATAAGTTTTTTCCAATTGGAGTATAGACTCGTTGGACAACACAGTAGAATTCAACTACTTTTATATTTAACCCTACTATCCTGCATTATCTCTGCTTGATCTATGTCCTTGAAGTTGCCTTAATTTTCCTGCCTTCCTTATATTGCTTTAGTTTCAGCTTAGTTGTTCATTTGAACTGCAGGTTTTATCTGCCTTTTGGTTTGTTTCACTTTTCTGGGAACCTAAACTTGCCTTGTCTAAGTTCAATTGTAGAAATCTAAAATTAAGTTTGTTGTACCTCCCATTTAGATGTGAAAGCAAAAATCATACTTTAGAGCTGGAAGAACCCATAGAGATCTTCTAATTTATCATTATTATTATTATTATTTTTAGTTAGTAATTTCTGCCCCTATACCCCTCCTCCCCAAATTGGGTGGGGGAAAGGTGGGGGGAGGGGGGGAACAGCCTTTTTAACAAATAAGCATATTCAGGCAAAACAAATTACCACATTGTTTATGTGGCATATGTGTCTCATTCAGCATCTTGGGTGCCTTCACCTCCTCTGATCATTACCTGGAGCTCTGGTCAGAGTTTTAAGTCTTTCAAAGCTGTTTATCCTTAAAATGTACAAATTGTTCATTTGCTTCTGATCACTTTATTCTGTGTAAGTTCATATAAGTTTTACCATGTTTTTCTAAGACTGTCCCTTTTATCATATCTTTTTCTATAGTATAATAGTATTCCATTACATTCATACGCTGCAGTTTGTTCAACCACCCTCCAGTTGATGACCCCATCTTTGTGGTTCTTCTCCCTGCCCCCCCCAAGCTATTTAAAAAAAAAATGGGTCATTTTTCCTTTCTCTGATCTCTTTGGAGTATAGATCTAGTACCATAATTGCTGGGAGAGCAGGGGTGTGTGTGGAGTGGGTATTGTATAGCTTAGTGACTTTTAAGGGGTTATTCCAAGTAGCAAGAAAACAAAACCCCTTTTACAAACATCCGTTGTCGAGCAAAACAAATTCCTGCATTTGGCCATATCTAAAAAATGTCTCCATCTGTGTTTCCCTGACCTCTGTCCAGGAGGTGGGCAACATGTTTCATCCTGAGTTTTTTGAAATTGTGGTTAGTCATAATGTTGACCAAAATTGTTTGTCATGACGGTATTGCTGGTATTATAAATGGTTGATGCTTACTTTACTGTGGATCAGTTCAAAAATGTCTTCCCAAGTTTCTTTGGGGAAAAAGAATATTGTCATCATTCCCGGTATTTCATTACATTCATATACTATAACTTCTTCAGCAAATTCCTAATTGATGGACACCTCCTCAGTTACCATTTCTTTGCCCACCACAAAAAAAAGCTACTATAAATATTTTTTTATGTATGAGTTCTCTTTATTATCTATGGACTATAGAGCTGGTATTGGTATTATAGAGGCAAAAGATATGTAGTTTATTAACTTTTTCAACCTTTTTTTTTTCAATTAAAAATCCTTTTCCTCCTACCTCCCTTCCCCAATTGAAAAAAAAAATTTATAACAAGCATATTCAAGTAAAACAAATTCCCACATTGGCCATGTTAAATTTAGCCTCAATTGTCAGGAGGTGGTCAACTCTTGAAAAAGAATCAATATGTATTGATCTTTTTTAATTACCTTAATTCCTGAATATATTCTTGTCTGCTTCCCTACCCACTAAGCTCTTCCTTTTTAACAAAGAAGAAAAAAAGCAATTCAGCAAAACTAACCAACACATCAAACAAGTCTGACATATGCAATAACCTGCACCTGTAGTCTTCCACCTCTGAAAATGAGAGGGATATATTTTCTCATCTCCTTCAATGCCAAGCTCAGTCTTTGATCAACCATAAAAATATTTTCAAATAATGTAAATTTGAATAAGTTCTTTGAGATTTTTTTCAGGAATATGGAATTTTGGTAAATCAGATTAAATTTGTGTTCCATTTTGTGTTTAATACCGAACACTCAGCATATTAAGATATCCCTGTAGTCTGGAAAATGTGTCATAATGAGAAAAAAAATCTGTCTTGTCTTTTTTTTTTTTGGCTAGGCAATGGGGTTAAATGACTTGCCCAGGGTCACACAACTAGTAAGTGTTATGTGTCTGAGGCTGGATTTGAACTCAGGTCCACCTGACTCCAGGACTGGTGTTCAATCGGCTGTACCACCTACCTGCCCCATCTTGTCTTCTCATAAAAATAGAGGTACTATTTGTTCGCCATTAGGATCAGAATTAGTCATTCAGGCATTTTTTAAGTGCCTGCTAGGTGCTACAGTGAGAAATCTTTGTCCTAGAGAAGCTTGTGTTCAGTCTGGGGAAATAATATGTACATAAATAAGCATAAACAAGATAAATAGAGGGCAATGAGGTGGTAAGACCAATAGCAGCTGAGATTCATGCAAAAGGTGACACCTGAGTTGTCTTGAAATGAAAGTACCAAGAAGTAGATGAAGCAGTGCATTCTGAATGTGAGAGATAGCCAGTGCAAAGCTGCAGCACTAAGACATAAAGTGTTCAGTGAAGACAAGCAGAAGGCCAGTTTGGACTATGGAGAAACAGAACTGAAGTCACGTGCATTAAGGCAGGAAGGTAGGGTGGGTGAAGTTGTAGAGGGGTTTGCGTTTATTCCTAGAAGCAATAGGGAGCCACTGTGGTTTATTCACTGGTCACATCTAAGATGTAAGAAAATCCTGACTCCAGACTTGGTGCTCTATCCACTGGGCCACCTAGCTGCCCACATTTAAGTCACTTAAAACTTTAGGCCATTACATATAATGCTGCTGTAAAAATCTTGAAATACATGCTCCTTTTTTGTTCTTGGCTACACATTAAGGACGTATTTGGTACTTTTTATGTCTGTAATTTTAATTGGTAGCATCTACTGTTGCCAGCACAGATCTATTTTAACTCCCATGAGCTTTGTTAAAAAATATTTTTCCCAGTTGCATTTAAAAAAATTTAAAAAATTCAAATTTTCTCACTCAGTCCCCTGGTAAGCAGTTTGATATAGGTTATTCATGTGCAATCATGGAAAATATTTCCAAATTAACATGAACTTCTCTTTAACCATTTGTCACCAGAAGGTGTCACTGTAGGGCAGTAGTGTCAAACCCACCTAAAGATCCCTGAGCCACATAACTTAGAAAACCGTTTGTTAGCATTATCCATAATCTATTGTATTTTTATTTATTTTGTTTAAAATTTGCTAATTACATTTTTAATCTGAGTGAGCTGCACAGGGTCCAAATTCTGTCAGCTGACAGTAGAGCAGAGATGGTTGACAGTTCAATCTTTTACTTCCCCTCCTGAAGGGGGGAAAAAAGGAAGGAGCTGAATCCTCCCAGAATACACTTACTTCCCACAAGACCATTATGCTGTCTTGTTTGATCTCAGCTTCTATGGGTTCTACTAATTTCTCTATGCTGAGATTCACAGGTTTCTTTCACAATTCACAATTGCTTTCAATCCTGCATCATCAACTGCCTTTTCAATATCACAAATTGGATGTCCTATAAGCATCTCAGATTCAACATATCTAAAACAGAGCTCATTATCTTTCCCCTCCAAACCCTCTTTTCTAAGCCCTGCTATTACTGGGTATGTGCCAATTACCTAAGCTCATAACAGTGCCATCTTTGACTATCATTTGTATTCACTCCACGTAGCTTGTTTCCGTCTTCACAGTCTCTCACACAGCCACACCTCTAGCTCATATATCATCACTGTCCACCTGCCTACTTCACCTTCGTTCAGTCTTCTGAATATACTTCTCTGACACTGTCACCACTCTAGTCCAGGCCCTGGATTATTGTAATTGCCTGTTGGTGATTAGGTCTGTCTCAAGTCTCTCCCTACTCCAATCCATCCTCCTTTTAGTCCAAATTTAAATCCAGCTATAACAACAGTTTGTTTGTTGGTCTGCCCATCTCCAAGTGTCCTACTCAAGTTCATCCTCCACTCTAGGGCCAAAGTGGTTTTTCTAAATTGAAGGTCTGACCATGTCATTGCCCTAAGCTCAGCAGCTCCACATTACCTCCAGTCATTTGGCATTTAAAGTCCTTCACAAGTTGGCCCTTTCCTACTTTTCCATTCTTCTTACACTTTATACCCTTCATAGTCAGTAAACATGTATTAAGTGCCTATGTGTCAGGAACTTTGCTAAGCACGAGGAATACAGAAAGGCAAGACGGTCCCTGCCCTCCAGGAACTCACTATCTAGTGGTGGAGACAACTAGCAAACAAATACGCACAAACAAGCTATATGTAGGATAAAAAGGAAATAATTAAAAGAGGGAAGGCACTAGAATTAAGAGAGGTTGGGAAAGACTTCATGCAGAAGATGAGGTTTTAGTTAGTACTTGAAGGAAGCCAGGGAAGGCAAGAGGCAGAGATGGGCAGGGACTGTATTCCGGGCACGGAAGACAGCCAGCAAAAATGCCTAGAGCCTAGAGAAGGTATGTTGTTCCTGGACCATCCAGGAGGCCACTCTAGAAAAGTAGGGAGGTTATGAAGGTCTTTGAACTCCAAGTAGGGGAATTTTTACTTGAACCCAGAGGTGATTGTGAGCCACTAAAATTCATTGAGTAGGGGGATAACAAAGTAAGACCTTTGCTTTAGGAAAATCACTTTGGTGGCTAAAAGTAGGATGGATTGGAGCAGGGAGAGATAAGACAGACCTACTCACCCAGCAGGCAATTACAATAATGCAGGTAGGAGGTGGTAAGGACCTGGGCCAGAGAGGTGGCAGTGTCAGAAGAGAGTATTCAGGAGATAGTGCAAATGTGAGTAGACAGGCTTTGGTAAGAGCTTGGATGTGGTGGGGTGGGGGGTAAGAGATAGTGAGGATCCAGGATGACTCCTAGGTTGTAAGCCTGAGGGACTGGGACGATGATGTTGTCCCCCAAAGTAACAAGGAAGGTAGGTGGAAAGGGTTTAGGGGAAAAGACCGACAAACTGTGATTGAGCTAGTCTTACTTGGTATTCCTCATAATGCTCTTAACTCCCAACTCCTATGCATTTGTATTGCTGTCCCCCATGTCTGGAATGCTTTCTCTCTTTATCTCTACCTTCTGACTTCCCAGGTTCTTTCAAGACAGCTGAAATCCCATCTTGTGAAGAAGGCCTTTCCAGCCCTATCCCCCAACACCTTCACTGCTAGACCTTTCCCTCTGAGATTGTGTTCCATTTAGTCTCTCTCTTTCTGTATGCATTTGGGGCACAATGGATAGAGTGCTGGGCCTGGAGTCAGGAAGACTTATCTTCCTGAGTTCAAATCTGGCCTCAGACACTTACTAGACATTGTAACCCTGGGCAAGTCACTTAACCCTGTTTGCCTCAGTTTCCTGATCCATAAAATGAGCTGGAGAAGGAAATGACAAACCCCTCCAGTATTCTTGCCAAGAAAACCCCAAATGGGGTCATGAAGAATTGGACTCAACTGAAAAATTACTAAACAACAACAAAATTTGCATTTTTTATCATTTATTAGAACTATATGAACTACCCTGTTTTTCCCCCCTTTCTTTGTATCTGGAGCAAATAGCACAATACCTGGCACATAATAAACATTTAATAACTGTTGCAACAATTGAGTTCATTTAGCCTAAGGGCGAGTGACCTCATAGTGTAGGTGGGTCATTTTCTCCTCTAGGTTATAGAGTTTATGTAAGATAAAAAGTTACTTTAAAGTGATAATAATCCAGAGACCTCCAGAAAATTCCTAATATTCAGATAGATATTTAAATTCTGTGTATTTCCAGCCAGTGGTGCAGTGGGTAAGAATGCCAGGTCTGAAGCCAGGAAGACTCATCTTCGTGAGTTCAAATCTGCCCTCAGACACTCACTAGCTGTGTGACACTGAGCAAGTCACCAAGCCTTCATGATAGACCATGGATTTTTATACAAAGCAAATATCACGATGAAATAACTACCTGGGTTAGAAAAAAAGAAAAACCAAAAATTGTTATATGAGTGCCCATGTGCTCACTTCAAGAGCACATATACTAAAACTGGAATGTTACAGAGAAGATTAGCATGACCCCTGTGCAAGGATAACATGCAAATTCATGAAGAGTAATATATTTTTCTGAGTTTTTCCTCATTTCTATTTTGTCTTTAAAAAATATTGTTATATGGGATGGTTCTCTGGAAGGGGGGTGGGTAGGGAATATTGAGGAAAACTGCTGATATAAAAAGCAAAAGATAATAAAATTTTTTATAAGCATCTTTATCAAAAAGACATGAAGAAGGGAATTTGAGGAAATGGTAAACCTTTCAGACCTTTCTTCAGTCCTTGAAATAGCAATTACAATAAACATCTACTATCACCAGAGTTCTTTGTTGTACTTAGTGGAAGCTATGTCACTGTCATCCCATGTTCTTTCATAGATAGTGTCATCCCTTCACTGTTTATACCATTGTTCTCCCAATATCTCTCACAGGCAGGCTGGCTATCTGTCATTTCAGATCCATTTGTCTCACCTGCCTTCTCACAGATTGAACGACCCTTTTATGAAACCCATAGGTGTGACTAATGTCTATCTCTCAGCCCAAAGATTGTAATTAGGAGGGGAAGAGAATAAGCATTTATATAGCACCTACTGAATGCCAGGCACAATGCTAAGCCTTAAAAGCAATCATAACCCTAAATATCATATAAATAAAGTGCTATATAAATACTGGAGATGATGATGAATTTTTCTGCCTATTTTCAATCTTTTGGAACATGACCACCAGTGACTAATTTTTTTTTTGTTTGTTTTTGCTAGGTAATGGGGTTAAGTGACTTGCCCAGGGTCACACAGCTAGTAAGTGTCTGGATTTGAACTCGGGTCCTTTTGACTCCAGAGCCAGTGCTCTATCCACTGTGCCACCTAGCTGCCCCCCAGTGACTAATTTTTAAATAGATCATAGAAGATAGAACTATCGAGATAGTTGCATGTTTGTATGTGCTTTAGATAGGTTGGGGAAATGAGAGTAAGTTTAATGTTCTATTCCATATTCTAGTAATGATTGTATTTCAACTAAGCCCATTTTTAACATCCTGGGTTTTATTCAACACTGAGATTGAGATGTAAAGCAAATAATGGTGACAAGACAACTCATAACCTCTAAGAACACCTTCACCTCCTCGTTATTTTGATAGTTTGAAATCAATGGAGAAAAACAGGTTCAATCTACTTCATTTAGTAACATGACTGCATTTAATAACTAAAAGAAGGTGATGCTTCACTTCTTTCTGGTGATAAATTTGAAGCTTTAAAGAAGAATAGATGTACTCTAGTGGTTATCTCTTAAAACAAACTGTTCTGGGTCACTGCTAAGTCATCCTGCAATATCTCTGTTAGGAAATCCCACAGGGATGGCTGCCGTTCTTCACCTTGCAGAAGAGGCTGTTGGGAAAGATAGTGACTCATTTTAGGTGGACATACAAACAGTGTGATAATGACCTTCAGCTTTGCAAGCTCCCCCCCCCCCCCCCAATCTATTCAAGATGTTACTTGACTTTCTCCAGAAACTGATGTGCTGGAAGCAGATAAAGAGGAAACCAGAAAGTCTTATTGGTAGTCAAGGGGAACATTTACAAAATTCATTAAAGGTAAGTCTGTCCTTTCAGTGATTTCTTGAAGGAGATTTTAGCTGACTATTCAGACATTAGGCTTGACTGCCTTAATTAAATGTATTTTTCTTAATGGATGTTACCCTTTTGTGGTCTGGCAAATAAAATTTTCATGAAGATTCAGCCATCTGTGTCTGAGAACATGTATCTCTTCTGTTTTGCTCTTCACACTCTAATGTATTTTCACCTCAGTGTTTTTAACTTTGCTGTACCCCCATATGTTTTACTTTACATTGTGTAGGTGTTTGAGCCCTGGGATAATTATACTGTTCTTATAAGGGAACAATTGTTGTTGTTGAGTGGTTTTTCAGTCATATCCAACTCTCTGTGATCCCATTTGGGGGTTTTCTTGGCAATGATGGTAGAGTAGTTTGCCATTTCCTTTTCCAGCTCATTTTACAGATGAGGAAACTGAGGCAAGCAGTGATAAGTGACTTGCCCAGGTTCACACAGCTAATAAGTGTCTGAGACCGAATTTAAACTCAGAAATATGAACCTTCCTGATTCCAAGCCCAGTGCTGTATCCATTGCACCACCAAGCTGCGCCGTAAGAGAATAAAGTACTCAAAATATTTTAAATTTTGTTTGTGAACTTAATCATCAACAAGCACAAACATTTCAATATACAAAAAATAACATAGGTAAGAAACTAAATTTCTGTTATGTAGAGCTTGTTGTTTTGAAATATAGGTATACTTATATACATGTATATATGTGTATGCAAATATGGTTTTCTAAGTCTTGGTGAAGTTTTAAGCTGTCACATACACACACATACACTTCAGCAGGATAGTAAAAATATATTATAAACATTAAATATTAATATTAAATACCTAATATTATATTTAAATAATATAACACATTATATTATTTTATTTATATATAATATATTTGCATTCTATATTATATTACTTATAGACTTATAAATATTCTATTGTATACTGCTATTATATATTATAAATATAATATATGTTATATATTTTCACTACCCTGTTGAAGTATATGTATGTACATGTATGTATGTTTGTATACATATATATACATATATATACATATATACATGTGTGTCTATGGATTCTGTTTATTTGATGCAGCTACGTGGTATAGTAGATAAAATCCCTGGGCCTGGAGTCAGGAAGATTTGACCTCAAATCTGGCCTTAGACACTTACTAGCTGTGTGACCCTGGGCAAGTCACTTAACCTCAGTTTCCCCAATTGTAAAATGGGGATCATAATAGCACCTACTTTGCAGGGTTTTTATGAGGATCAAATGAGATAATGTTTGTAAAGCACTTAGCACAGTGCCTGGCACAAAGTAAGCACTATGCTTATTTTCTTTCTGTACATTTGTGTTTCCTTGTGCATTTTTCTTCCATAAGGTTTTTAAGGTCTAAAAATAAGCTAGTTACATATACTTTGAAACCACTAGGATGTTCTATTTCTGGCTACACTTTCATATTTCTCTGATACATTCAGGGGTGTTTCAAAAGTCTTAGTTCGGTTTTAAGCTTTAGTAGCTTAAATAGCATAAGCTTTAATAGCTTAAAACAGTACTAAAATTTTTGAAACATTCTATGTGTGTGTGTGTGTGTGAATTTTTTTTACATCTAAGCCCTTGAACCATGGACTAATGCTGTACTTACTGATGACTCACTTAGTCATGGAGCCATTGAAGATCCTTGGAACATGTTTAAATGTCGTACACAGACACACATATATATATATGTGTGTGTATATACACATATATACAGATACATATATGTATGTATGTATGTATGTGTAGGTATATATTCCACCAAATCCCACTCACCTGGAGAATGACTAGCATACCAAGAGAAGGAAAGGCCAATTCTGAAGCAAGGACAGACAATTCCATTCCATTCACAGGACTGTGTTTTAGGCACTGGGGATACAAAATGAAAACAGCCCCTGTCCTCTAGGATCTTTCATTTTACTGGGAGGGAGGGAGGGAGGGAAACAGAGGAACAGTAAATACACAAATAAGCTTATAGAAAATATATCTGAAGTAAGTGCAAAGTAATTGGCCAGGGTTGCAGTTGGAGTAGAGGTGATTAAAACTGGGAGAATTGAAAGACCCAGAGTAGGAAGTAGCTCTTGATGGAGGCCTGTAAGTAATCCAAGTATCCAAAGACGTGGAGGTGACGAAGGAGAGTCTTCCAGGAATAGGAGAACAAAAGACCTAGAAGATGGAATTTACGTACAGGCAAGGCCCATTTGGTCCTCTGATCATTTTTGAGTCTGATAACATTACTCCAAAGGAAGTAGAAAAACCCAAATAAATGTCTTCTAAAGAAGAGAGACCGTTCTCTGCCTCATTTCTTATTAAGCCTTAATCACTGAATGGGTGTTGCCTCAGTCAAAATGAGAACTGTTGAAGACCTTAGCTTAAAAAGGCCAAGAACCCCCACTGCATCCAGAGCCATCTCCAGTTGTCCTGATCTATATCTGGCCACTGAACCAAGATGGCTCTGAAGGAAAAAAGTGAGGCTGGTGACTTTGCACAGCCCTCCCTCACTTAAATCCAATTCACTTGCACGTCATGGCATCACCTCCCTGATGTCATGGTCCTCTTCGAGAACAAAGGACAAACAGTAGCAGCAGCAGCTTGGAGTCAATAAGTACGTAACTCAACACTATAGCTCCTAAGACCCCACCAGTACTTTATTTATTTTTTTCTTTTCTACTTACTACAGACTTAAGAAACATAAATAAACAAGAACATTTCGGTATACAAAGAAGAATTTTAAAAATTGAATTGCATGTGAAACTGTGAACCCTTAATATATAACTTTATCAGGATAGTAAGAAAATTGTCTTCTTTGCGTCTTTTCTGAACTTATGGCTCTGTGTAATTTTTAATGTAATTATTAATGTTCTTTTTTTTTCCTTTTAAAAAATTCTCTTTCATTACCCACCAAGCCAAGGCTTCTTTTAATAGATCAAATCATATAACCATGAATTCAAAGCAAAAAATGTTCAGTGAAACAGAATAATTGAGCAAAAATAAGGATTTGAATCAGGTATTAAATAACATTGAACTTATTCTCAAATAACTTCTGCCTCTGTTACGTGTCTTCCTCCATCCCCCCAAAGAGATCATGATCTAGGTTCCCATTAACCACTCTGCCTCAAACACAGCAGGATGGGAATATATCAGTCACTCATGAAAAGCTAACTAGAAAACTCACCAAAACTTGAGGAAGTGCTGGGCTCCTCTGTGCAGAAACCAAACAGTCCCTGAAACTTGACAGGTCTTCAGAGTCCTAAGAATAGGAACTACAAAAAAAAAAAGGCCAAAGATCAGGCTACAACCACCATTTTCTTTTTTTCTTTTACTTCTGAACTTACATGCCAAATAAAATTGAGCATTTCCATATAAAAATCAGAACAGAAAAAAAAGAGGTTTTACATGAAGCTATTAATTTCTATTACAAACAACTCAAAT